TAAATAAAAAATGGATGACGGAGGAGACTCATCCACGACCTCCGACACTAAACTCTCCTCCTCTTGCATGTTTCCTCTGTCCATAGCGTTCCTTGGCAGCGTCGTTTCTAAGTCACCAATTTAGTGCTACTTGGTCCCAATGGAATTTCCCATTGGGAACCCATTGGGTAAAAAAATAGATTTAATAGATTTTGAATTGATTACTTTACATTTTTGCAGAATCGATGTCTAGGGAATGAGATCGATTAGTTTTATAGTGACGCGCGTGACGTCCCCATTAAATGAACAGGAAAGATGCTCTCAAGATGACTTCAAGCCAGACAGCTGCAAATATAGCCAATAGGTTGACTGAAGACATGGGGGCTGAGCAGCAAATACCCTGTAGTTGTTGTTTGTGCATTGAAGATAATGCAGCTCATGCATGTCTGCTGTGTCTCCGCTGTGTCACGACTGCGGCTTCACTTTTTCACTTTTCACAAACAGGTTTGCACTCATGAGACAGTTTTGTTCACGTCTCAAGCTTAAACTGTCTGATTTACAAGTTTGCACTTTGTGTTTAATGTGACAGGAAAAAATAAAATGCATGAGTTGAACCACTTTCATTATCGTAAAAAACAGATCGAATCAAAATTAATCGATTTAGAACTGTATGAATCAAAATCGAATCGATTCAGGACTTTGGCGAAAATACCCAGCCCTAGAGCTTTTGACCTTCCGCCTCAACAATCCCGCCCCCTTCATAAATGACCAATCAACTTCACTTTATTCACTCGTGTAAAGTCGGGCACCACTTCAGAAATGCAACGGTTGGAACCGCCGTTTCTCTAAGACTTTAAAAGATGAAGTAGCTCCCCGTGGGTTATTAATCAGTAATTGTCAGCGAGCTGATCATCTGCGTGTGGGAATACTTCTGTCTGAATGTGCTGCATTGGCTTCACTTAATAGCAGCCATTAGCTCAGATTAGCATCATTTTCAACATTTCTTATCTTGACAATTTAACAAGCAGAGCATGCTGTTGTTGGGACGTTATTAAGAAGCAAATAATTAAAACCTCTCCCTGTAATCTGTTTTTGCTAGTCATATTTTCCTGTTGCATAAAGTCTGTTTTCTACCTTACTAACAGTGACTAAGGTAGACATTTTTTTTTTCATTTGATTATTTTGATATCTATGCTCTGAACGTTGCTCAATCTGTTAACACTCAGCTAAAATATGTTAAGCTGCTTTTATTTAGTAGATCTCATTTTGACCTGTTTTCTACAAGGAAATGCTTTATGAACTCTTATTAATTCACTTATAAAATGGTTGCTTGCTTTATTGAGGGTGCTATGAAGTTCCCATCAAGTTTCCGAACCTTCAACAAAGAAACAAAATGTGGGGACAATTCCTTGCTTACTTAATTACCTAAATGTTTAATCTTTTGTTGCTCATTAGTTCTTTAACTCTGTATAACCTGCTAACTAAGTGAGCAGGTTTGAACTGAATTGGTCGGTTCAGTTGTACGGTAGATATGCAACCAGCAGGGGACCAAATGCACGTCCTAGAGGAGCATCTTTATTAGGTTAAATGGAGAATTGTCTGTACATATATATTTTGTGGATTTACATTAAGTCCTATCTATTTTTTTGTCAAAGCAATTGTGTAACTTATAAAATATTTTTGTTTTTGTTGCAGAAAAATCCAGAGCCGAGCTAGAACAAGTTCCAAAGGTCAGACATCCTTTTTTTTTTTTTTACTATCAGCTACTGTTTCATATTTTAGGTGTTGTTGACCTTTTTATTTTCTGGCCCAGCTGTCTGTTAGTTTACAAGGTGTGATGTCAGCACTGTACTGGAATCATATGCAGTTTTTGTCATGATTTGATCCTCTAAAGGAGAACAATCATTGTGGAAATTAAACCAACAAATCCTCCTGATTAGAAGCTAGTTTCCTTTTCATTTATTATTAATATATCTTGTAGTGTTTGATTGTTACCTAAAACTTAAAAAAAGACAGGTTAACCTTTAAATTCTGAAGAAATTGGTTCTGGGAGGTTTTTATCACATAAGGAAAGGTTTTCCAAAAAAGTTTGAAGACGTTTCGCTTCCCATCCAGGAAGTTAAATTCTAAATGTCAGGAATAACGTTGAGTTTAAGGCTTTATACAGCAGCCCAAAAAAAGCCTTGTTTTTGATTGACAAAAACATGCAAATTGAGGACCAGAATGTTCACATTATGGACAAAGAAAATAGTTTGAGAGGGGAGTGAAGGAAGCTATCTATGTTGGGGAAGAAAAAACAACATTAAAAAGAGGGGGTGGATTCAGATTTCAGCTTTCAAAAACCAACAATGCAGCAATTGAGTTGATTCCTTCCCACTATTAACACAACCCCAACCCCTTTACAGGAGAGCAGAAGACCTCGCCTATTCAGCCAGGCCAACATTTCCCTTAAATGCCCCCGTTTCAGAGACATAGACAGGTATGGGGCATTGCAGGCTAACAAAAGAAGCCAAACGATCCCCATTCCAAAGGGGCGGACCCGTTCCTCCGTTTCGATTTGCATGTTTTCTAAACTAAAACGAGGCTTTGTTGGGCTGCAGGATAAAACCTTAAACGTCTTCAAACTTGGAAACAAAGTCCAATGTTTTTATTTATTTATTTTTTTTACTTTTTTGGAATGACTATGACCTGGATGACTGAGAATCTTCACCAGCATTAGGAAAGGTTTTATTTAAAGGCTCTGTACCTTATTCTGCAAAGTAAGCCCCGCCCCTAACCTTCGCCCATTGAGACACTTTCCTTCCGCAGGTAATAACTTGTAGCATCGTGAGACCATCCTGATCTCGCAAGCTTTCAAGGTTTCACGTCCAATCAGCGTTGGCTTTGAGGCGGGTTGAGGTGTGACGCAACGAGAAGCACGACAGTTCAGTCTAAAGAACATGGCGGCTTCAGCCGATGAAACTAGCGTTAGCGTGGCTATCGAGCAAGTTTTATCGGAATTACAGAGTATTTCTGTAATTGTATGTAAAAGATGTAAAAGAGTAGCCTGGCTTGTGGTTGT